TTATTTATGTAATTAAAGGAAGGTGTTATTAACGGCACAGCCCTGAAGCCGCTGAAGCTAGTGTCATTGTTATCATTTTTCTGTTTCGATCAAATAGCAGTAGAAAGTGAGATTGACTTTGACCTGTGGGGGCCCCCCAGTTTGGCGGGGGTGTGTGTGTGAGATAAATTTCTAATTCAGAATAAAGTAATGTTAAAATAGGATGGCGTCACAGCACTCACATCTGTCTGAATAAGACACTGCTGAGAGCTTAGCACTGGCACTGTGCCAGGCAGGTTGGAGGGACAGGGACACCGAACACAGACAAAATGCTGCCCACACAGAGGCTGGCAGTGAAGGACAGGTGCTTGGATAACTGGAGGACCCTGCACAGCCCCCTCAGCCGGGACACCAGCGACGAGGAGTCGCGAGTGTGCTCCCGCCTTTATTCGTGGCTCACCTGTGGCCTCGTTCTCCAGCCCCCCTCTCAGCGTTGTGTTGGAGGTGGCCCGCAGGGAAGCCCCTGGTCAGAACGCACTGATTCCTTCCCGTGGAGCAGGTTTGCTGACTTGCTGTCATGGATTCCGAAGGGGGACATAAAGCCCCGCTGCGGTCTGCCTCCTTCACTTTCTGGCTGGCTCACCCTTCCTGCTTAGGGATCGCCTTCACATTGAGCCAGAATGAAGAGATGAGCTGCACAGACCCCACCCTTCTTAGACCTCCCACCCAGGAATGCATAGCAGAATTCACACCTGTGGCCCCTCAGAGCATATCAGAATGTCCGTGGGCAAAAATGAGGTTATTAGAGGTGTAACCTTGGTTTTTTACAGACAATTCCCAGACAGTGATGTTTTCCCTGTCATTGTGTCCGGTCACCTTGGGTACCTCGCGACTGGCTCTGGTGCTGCGCAGCATCTGGGCCCTATAATGTGGACAATGGCATCATGATTTTTTGCTTCAGTGGCCTGTGGTGTTTTGCAGAGGAAGCTTCTACACAGCAGGCTGCATTTATCCCACTCCTGTGTCTTTATTCTGGTTAATAGGTCTGTTCTGCAGCTTTAACTTCAGTTTCTCGTTTTCCTGCATTCCGATAACACGGGCCCCGGCCTGGGTAGGGTCTGAGGAAAGCGAGAAAACCCCATTTGAGGGTATGCAGGAAGGGACTTCTCAAAGAGCTTTTTTCTCTTTAAATGTCTCTCATTTCAAAAATTTGTGCTCTAATTAGTTTTCGAGATGACATCCTGACATTGCCTTCACAGCGGTAAACTTCTGTTGTGCTCCCCAGGTATGTTGTGGTAAATCGAAGTTCTCGTGTCCACGTTCTATTTGCTTGTCGAAGCCCAGCCCAAACGTATTCTTGTTTTTTTTCTTTCCACCTCTTTAATTCCTCCCCCTGCCCCATTTCTACCCCGACCTATGGATGTTGCTGTTTCCCCTTAAGAACTGGATCTCTGAAGGTGAGGCGTCTGCTCCCGCACGCTCCCCGCATGCACCTGGGGCCTGGCGCACCCAGGATATGGTCCGTGGCTCCACCTGGGGCGCGAACCCAGGACCTTCTGCATATAAAGCAGACGTACTAACCACTACACTGTGGAGCCACCCCCTGTTTTAAGACTTAAGTGTAAACTTCACTTTATCGTTGAAGCTTTGCCTTCCTCCAAGAACAATGCCCCCACCCCAGTTAGGTGCCCGCTGTTCCTTGCCCCTTGGGCACTCATTGTAATCGTCCTTGCAGGACCCATCACAGTATTGTGTTTATTGGCTCGTCTGTTCTTTGCCGCTGCACAGGGAGCATTAATGAGGAAGTTCGATGTGTCCGTCATCGTGTCCTCAGCACCTAGCACATCTCAGGCATTTTAACGAATGTTTGTTGAATTAATAAGAGTAAGAATGAGCCATGGGCTTTGCCGTCAGTTTTAAGTCAAGAACCCCTGTGATGAATTGAGTCCTTAGCGTTCTGGTAACAGTTTCGCAGTTCAGTGGAGCAGAGCAGGGCAGATCTGCCCTCAGGAGCTGCTGGACCCGGATGTGGCATTTGTGCTCTGGCCTTCCAGGAAGAAGACAGCCCGAGACAGGTGTGCTGCGGGTCCTGGCTGAGCTGCAGAGGCTCTGCCCCTGTGAGCTCGAGACCCATCTGAGCGAGCGGGTGGTTCCAGCCCCACGTGGCAACGACCCACCTGTGTTGCACCAGTCCGCACCGCCTTCACCCTGAGGCCATGCTCCTCATTGCCGTGCCACAGAAGCAGGCTTGTTCCTGGGAGGCCGTGGCTCCTGAGGGGACTTTGGCTCAAGGACTGCATATTGGCCTGAAACAGTTGGAGCTGCCTGGCCCTGAAGACTTACCCACCTGCCTCCTTTTCTCATCCTTTTCCCAGGGATCCCCCTGCATCCCCTCGGGTAGCTCCCCAGCCTCCTCCAGCACCCTCCAATGGTCCCCACATCAATCTCTTGCATGCCCGATCCTGTCGTGGCAGCTGCTTCTCAGGAGGCCATGTGTATGGGGTCAGTGGTGTAGACCCACGCTGGGGTCAGCGGTGTGGACCTACGCAGGGAACTGCAGATTAAAACACCGAGACACCACCACACCCCCGTCAGGATGGTCACAGCCCCGATACTGACGACGCCACATGCTGAGAGGACGTGGAGCCACAGGACTCTCGTCGCTGCTGTGGGGGTGCTGCTGGTGCAGCCGCTGTGGGAGACAGTTTGGCAGCTTCTTGCGAAACAAAACACACTCGTACCATACGATCCAGGAGCCATGCTTTTTGGTATTTGCCATAAGAGATAAAAACTTATGTCCACAAGTAACCTGCACACGGACATCTATAGCAGCTTTATTCATAATCACCCAAACTTGGAAGCAGCCAAGGTGCCCTTCAGCAGGTGATGGATAAATAATTTGTGTGCGTCCAGACAGTGGGCTATTGCTCAGCACGAAAGAGAAACGAGTTATCAAGTCAAGAAAAGACACGGAAGAACTGTAAATGCGCGTCGCTTGTGGAAGAAGTCAGTCTGAAAAGGCTGCCGTGTGATTCCAGCTGGATGCCATTCCGGAAAACTGTGGAGACAGAAAGATGGTGGTTACCAGGAGTCGGGGTTGAATGGCACAGCACAGAGGGTGTTTAGGGCAGTGAAATTCTCTGTGTGATGCCATAGCAGTAGACACGTGTCATTCTCCATCTGTCCAGACCCACAGGATGTGCACAAGAGAGACGCGTAGGGACTGGGCAGTGACGCTGTGTCCGTGCAGTGCGTCACATGTAACAAATGCCCCTCGGCTATGGGAGGCTACATGTCTGTGGGCGGGCTGTGTGGCAGCACTTTGCACCTTCACCTCAATTTTTCTGTGAACCTCAAACCTCAAAAAATTAAGTATTTAAAAGAAAAGCAAAGCAAAGCAAAAAATCCCCAACCTTCTGGAAAATTAGTCTGTAAGCCCAGATGGTTTCACTGACAAATTTTTTCAAACATTTAAAAAGGAAATAAAACCAAATTTTATATATCGTCTCTTCTATATACTTTTTATTTTCATTTTTAGGATCATTTTAGTCTGAGAAGTTGCAAAAATAGTACATAGAATTCATTCAGTTTACTGAAATGACATATAACCATAGTATGTTATCAAACCATCTTCCATTTTTCTTAATTACAAAGATTTACATGATTATTATGCTGCTAAATTTAAAGAGTTCAAAGTCACGTGAAGTAAAAAATGAGATCCGTCTCATGCCTACCCTGCTTTCTTGGGGTAACCACCATTAAGGGGTTGCTGGCCCCTCCGGACACTTCCTGCACACGCAGAAACAGCTACGTGTGTGTGTGTATAGATCATTTTGTATAATCAACTAGTCGTTTTTCAGCTTGCTAGTTTTACTCAGTAGGATAGCGTGAATCCGTTCGGTACCCACCCCCCTGCCCCGCAAACGCCAGGGCATCTGTAGGGCCGACAGTGATACAGAGTAATGGTGTCTGGCCCCATATTTGCTTCTTCCTTGTTTGATGGGAGACATTTGTCTCCCATCGTTTGCTGCTATATGCAGCGTTCCCTGCCTGTCCTGTCCCTCTGACCTTGAGGACCTGTCGAGTGTTTTCAAGAATCGGTTTTAGAAATCGTGTTGCTGAGTTAGGGGCTTGGTGATAGCAGTCGTCTGCCGGTGTCCGCAGGGCCCACTGAGGGTACGGAATCCACAGACGCTCACCCTTCTGTGACATGGTGCGGTGCTGGCATGAGACCTCCCACGTCCTGAAGCCATCTCTAGGTTTCTCATAACACCCAGTGTGACAGTTGTTACACTGTATTGTTTAGGGAACAATGATAAGGAAAACCGTCTGTACAGACGCCCGACTCGGTGCATGCCGCACGAGTGTAACATTTTCAGAACATTTTCGGTCCACGGTTGGGTCCACAGTTAGTTGAATCTGCAGACGTGGGGTCGTGGTCACGGAGCGCTGGCCGCGTCTTGCATTTTGCGTTTGTGATCCCGAGTCTGCTTTGTGGCGGTGGAGGTCGCCTGGGCCACACATTGCACACCTACCTGGAGGGCCAGTAAAGACAGACCGCCAGAGAAGCTAGTTCTGGATGGGCCCTGGCGTTTTCCACAGGCCCCCGAGGACTGAGTGCTCAGCCAGCGGAGAGCCCCACCCTGAGGATCCCTAACGCTGTGGGGGCAGGGTCACCCAGATCTCTGCCATAGGCTGGGGAGTGCGGCTCTGCTGTTTGTCTCTAGCGTTTACTGAACTCGGGGTCAGAAAATTGGATTCGAGTTCCTTTTCTGTCAGCCTGTGACAGCCGTGCGCCTCTCAGCGGCAGGGATCCATTCTGAGAAATGCCTCGTTAGGCGGTTCTGCGAGTGTCCAGTGAGTGGGCAGGACAAGGACGGGGTCGCTGGGGGCCGCGGCAGCCAGCAGTGGACCAGGTGTACTCGTTGCGTTGTGGGTGGTGACGTGGACGTGGCGCGCTTAGACGAAACACAGGCAGTAGCGTGAGGTTTATAACATGGTGCCATTCGGGGAAAGTGAAGATGCGTGGACACGGGCAGTATGGATCTGCAGACCGTATTCAAAGTAAAGGCATTAAATGCAGCAGGACAGTGTCCTGTGGGGAAGGTGGGGGCAGAGGGCAAACAAGTGGAAGGACAGACAGATGGACAGGAGGCTCCGCGGGGCAGGCGGCCCAGTGGCGCTGCTGTCAAAGCAGAGGTCCCAGCAGGGTGGGGGAGGTCCCAGAGCAACTGCCTGCTGGGTAGGCAGGAAAGTGCTTCCCAGACCCCAGACTCATCTTCTGTAGGACGGTGCATCGGTGTCTACCCAGAGGCCTTCCATGCGGCCTAACTTAGACGCAGACTTCCGAGGTGTCAGGAGTTTACCCAAGGGAATGGCTGGGAAGCACTCAGTGCTGGGCTTGGGGTGAGGCCATGGGTAGGGGCGAGAATCACCCAGAGAACAAGCTGCCAGCAGAAGCTGTGCATACATCATCGTCTAAAGCCTCCGAAAGACGACAGGCGCACTGTGTGCCCCAGGCCCGTGGGAAAGCAGGCGGAGCAGAGCTGGGGAGGTGTCTCCATGGAGACGCGCTGGGCTTGTTCCGGAGGGTGTGTCGCACTTTTGGGCTGCGGTCTGCACTGCATCCCAGGACGCCCCCGCCCTCCAGGCTTGTCCCTGGGGATCCCTGACGGATGGGCCTGGCCGCGTCTTCGTCTTCGTCTTCGCTTTGACAAGCTGCTTTTCGCTGACGACCGTGTCAAAGGGGAGTGATTATTTACCTGCAGTGAATCCTCCCCTTCTGGTGTGCAGTCTGCACAGACAGGTACAGTCATGGGACTGCCACCGCGATCGGAACAGAGAGCTTCCTCACCCCCACAAGTCCCTGCCGCCCTGTGTCATCAGGCCTCCCCTTACTCCCACCCCCTGGCAGCCACCGTCTGCTCTCTGTCCCTACAGTGTTATCTTTTAAATGGGAGAATTCGGTGTGCAGCCTCCGAATGTGAGAGCGTGTGAGAGCGTGTGAGAGCGTGTGAGAGCGTGTGAGAGCGTGTGAGAGCTCCCCAGTGGCTCTGCGTAGCACTGGTCTGTCTGTTCCTCTTCCCCGCCGATTAGTATTGCATCGTGTGCACGTGTCTCAGTTTCTTTATTCAGTCACCGTTGAAGGACATTAGTGCCTTTCGTTCTTCCGTTATGAATTAATTTTTATTTAAAAAGTTCTGGAACTTTAGAAGAAATGTAATTCTTTTTATTGTTGTTTTAGGTGACATCACCCAAAAAGGATATGAAAAGAAAAGGGCAAAGCTGCTCGCGTGCTACCTGCCACCGACTCAGGGTAAGGTCAGCACCCTCGTGTTTGGAACAATTCCCTCGTCTCGTGACACTTGATTAAAAATGGATTTGACAGCTTAACATTGGTATATTTCCTATTTTGTTAGGAAAGACTGGACAAATAATCCGTGTAATATTGAATAAAATCCAAAGGCATTGATTGTAATTTACAGCTCTGGTTTGGTGTAGATCTCATCCCCAAATAGGAGCTATTTTATTTCAATGACTACAGAACATGATTATTTTCATGATTATGGTAAGGAACAGCCTTACGTAGGTTTGCAGCAAATACTGTAAAGGTGTCCGTTGTCCGTACTTGAGATTGACCTATTGAGTCAGCACATTAATCATTTCCACAGACTTTGTGTGTGTGTAGAATTTAATAAGCTAATTCTAAAATTTATATACAAATTTAAAGCGTCAAGGGATTCAAAATATGCCCCAAAAAGAATGAGTGGGGAGGCTCTGCCTGCCAGGACGTGAGGCGTGAACCTCGCGCTGCCGGTTCGTGCATGATGCGGCACAGGGCGGACAGCTGGGGCGTCAGAGCAGGAGCTGGAGCCCAGCCGCAGACGTGACCGAGTGGAGACTTGGCTTAGGCAGGTCGTGGTGCTGGCCCGATGCTGGTCCACGCGAGATGAGATCCAGAAACCACTTCCAGGTGCATCGAAGGCCTCAGCGTGCGAGGCACAGATGATAGCCCCTCCAAAGCTCGGACAGGCACCGTCTCGGGACAGGAAGGTCTGCTCAAGTCACCAAGGCCCCAACCAGCAGCGACCACAAAGGAAAAGATGGTAAATTGGACCACGTTAAAATTAAGAGTTTCTTTTGATTAGAAGTCACAAGGAGGCTGGCAGCAAGCCAGAGGGAGAAGAGAGCTTTAATAGCTGGGAGGGCAGCACCGGCCCTCGGTGCCCCCTATGGTCACAGAGGTGCCCACACTGTCCCCCTGCGTGCCGACCATCACCACCTAGAGCTTCTCAGCACTCGAAATATGGCTGGTAGTGAGAGATGAAGTTTTAATTTTAATTAATTTAAACTCAAATAGCCAGAAAGTCTCCCAACATGATTTTTAAAAAAGCCCAGTAGACAGGTGGACTGGAGACTTGAGGAAACCCTGACAGCTAGCAAGCAGACAGTAGATGCTCACCTCCGCAGTCACCAGAGAAACGCAGATCAAAGCCGCCACCTGCCGTGGTGGCTGGAGAGGGCTCCAACGCTGGGAGTGTGGACAGCTAGCATTACCTGTCACCTGCTGTGACAGGGTCAGAGGTGACCAGCACCTCTCCTGCAGTGCCTCTCCTGCATGCCCTCAAGAGCCCCTGTATTTGCACCTGTGCATGAGAGTGTGCATCGTGTCCTGCCCGCAGCACGAACACCTGCCAGAATCCATGCGGTGGAGAGCCAAAGGCCCACCTGCATCTCAGATGCGTCCCACACACACGGGGAGCCAGAGGGCTGTGGCCAGAGCACGTTAAACCCACGCCTGCTGCCCCACGGCGAACCTTTGCGTGGCTGGTTAAAGCAAGACGGGGAAGCGGTTTTCCCTGAAGTCGGGGTGCTGCGTCCTCGTGGATTGAGACTGGGGGGGCCGGGGGGCTCCGAGGCACCTGAGGGTTTATTTTTAACCAGCGCGGTGGTTCCATTGTCTCTTGTGCAGTAATTCTTAAACTGAACACATGGTTCATGCTGCTTTATTGTTAGGACATACTTTACAGTCACCAGCGCAAAGAATGGTGACGAGGCTTTTTATATGCTGACATCCATCCAAAATGACAAAACACACTCTGAGTAAAATTAGAATGGAAGGAAACGAAGGGAACGTGACAGCCCACTTGCGAACTTCTTCGTTTCAGCCGTTAAACTCAGCAGTCACATCCTGCAGCGTTTCGATCCCCAGCTGGGTGAGGCGGGAGTGCTCGCCCTGCCCACTCGGAGCCACTGCGATCAGTGGCCGCTGCGAGCGCGGCTCTGGGGACACAAAGCAGGATAAACTTTAGAGGACAGAAGACAGCCGTCTGCACTCACAGGTAGTGTTAGTGTCACTTTATGCTTCGAGGACCCAGGTGACTTCTTGCTTAACTATTAGAATGAAGTTCGGGGGTTGCTCTAAGACAAATATACAAGAATCTATAGCTTTTCTCTGGCAGTTTTTCTGTTAATGGAAAAAACTCACATTTATAAGGGCCATAAACGGTCAATTGCTTATTAATACATTTAGCTAGAAAGCCACAGAACCTTTGTCAGGGTAGTAAAATCTATTTGAAAGAAATAACAGACCCTAAAATAGAAGAAACGCCAATTTACTAAATGGAAAAACTATCATAAAAGTGGCAGTTTCCAAGTTACTGTGTGAAAATAACGCAGTCCAGCCTGAACACCTGGGGCCTATCCCCCCGCCCTGAGCTGGGGCTAGAATAAGACCTGTGTGTAGGAGAAAACTTCTGAGCAGCTAGTACATTTTGAAAAAATACTAGTGAGAAAGAGCTGGCCTTCGGGAGGTAAACCTGATTGTGTCCGCTGAGTCGGCACAGCGGGAGGGCCCAGGTGTGTGGGTGGGAGGTGAGGAGGCCACAGCTGGGACCCGCAGCCTCTGCCTGGAGCACATGACCTGCAGGGATCACAGCTCCCAATGCGTTGTAGTTGCAGGTGCTATAAAATTCGGGAGAACATTTGAGTAAGCTTTGAGTGAGGATTACAAGACAGGAGAGCTGAGAGTTAGAAAGGAAGAGAAAAACGGACATGATTGGTTCCCTCGGGATGGCCAAGCTGCCACCAGCCAGGCCGAGCTCTGGGAGGCGTATGCAGTGCAGAGTCCTGTCCCCAGCCGACCATGAGGCTCGGCAGCTGGGTAAGACGAATAGAAAGTCAAAGACGACAAAACGCAGTGGGCGATAGACGTCACATGCCCCACTCCCTTAGCAGGCAGGGAGTTGCAATCAAAATGAATCGTTTCCTGTCGGACTGGCAGAGTTCCGAAACGTTTCATAAAAACCTTCGGTGCTGACAAGGATGTGAGGAAATGGCACTTCCCTACGCTGCTTGTGGGAGTGTGAATTGCTGTCACCTCTTTGGAAAGTCATCTTGATATCCGTTAAGATGAAAAAGGTACCTGCTCTTTTATGCAGTAATATACTGGGTTCTGTGTCTTGTTGAGTGAATGGATCTGTCTTAAGGGCCACACTCGAGTTGTAAACGTCAGGTCATCCTTGCGCAGGTGCGTCAGCTGGCACCCCGCCCGTCGGTGACCCCGGTGCCCGAGGTTCTGTGCGTCGTCGGCTCCACCAGGAGTCAGAGTGATTTTGTCCAGTCACCAGAAACAAAGCCAAAAGCATCCGTCTCACTGGATGTGTGTGCACATGTGTGTGCACGCGTGCAGAGATGCTTGAATTCCAGAGAGCTAGACATCGATTCTAGAGGGGTTCCCGGTCTAGTGTCATGTGACAGCTCCTCAGATGTCGTGCTTAAAGCAGCTGCATCTGCTCTGCTCACGAATCTGCAGGCTGGCCAGGCTCAGAGGCCACCTCGCCCTGTCCACGGAGCCAGAGCTCGTGTCCTGGGTGCGCCCTCACCATAGCCGTGGAGTCAGTGCTGGGGGACGGAGGCAGCTGCCTCCGGCCCCCTCTGTCCTCTCGTGCGTTGTCACAGAGAGCCCGACAAGAGCTGTGTCACCTTTCATGACTGGCCGTGGGAGTCACACAGCGTCACTCCTGCTCTAGTGTGCCCGTGGGGCAGTCACTGACGAGCAGGGTCGAGGCGGGGGTGATCGGGGCTGGAGGGGCCAGTGGGGCTGGGGTCTTGCTAGCTCTTTTTATGGCATTTTGATCATTTTGCTGAAGCACCGCTGAAGGCTTGGTTTGTGTTCCTGTCAAATGCCAGCAAACAAGGACTGGGACACCCTGAGGGCTCTGTTTAACAGCCCTGCGTGCCTGTCCCCGTCCCTTCACTCACCACGGTGCCCCGAGGGCCGTGGACATGAGCGCCATGGGCCAGGGTGCAGTGGTGAGCAGTCCCCATCGGGCGTGGAGACGGCGAGCGTGTCGCAGGCCGAGGCAGTGGGTCCGAGGTCTGAGCTTGCCCTGCCGTCATCCCGTCACCTGTGCCTCTCTCCTCGTGCTCCCCTGTGCCTGCCCGTGCGACACCCCGTAGTTGCGTAGGGGGCATTCCTCGTCGAGTTCGCACCGGACTGCAGGGCTGCGCTCAGAGGGCCTTCCCGAGGCCTTCCTGTGCGTGGTGCCGCGAGGGCTCCGGCCGCCTCCAGGGGACGCTGTAGGGAGAGAGCTGGACGTGGGCATCACGTTCACCTTGACTTCCCAGCCCCGGGTGGCGGCCACCCAGGTAGGCAAGCTCAGATCACTGTTTTCCGTGCAGCGTGGGCTGTGCGAAATGGGGCTTTGCAAGATTGGAAAAGCAAAGAGTTCCCACAAGACATCCCCCTAAAATTGTGTTTCAGGAGTGGACCCCCCGCTCCAGGCAGAGCCCAGGACGCCCGGGCCCCCACGAGGCACGGCCGCGGCGCCCAGGCCGCAGAAGCCGCGGCCCGCCAGCTCCCGGGGCGAGCGCTTCCGGTCAGGTAGGGACACGGCGGCCGCTCGGGCTCCGGGCGGTTTCCCCTGCCTGACGCCCGCTGAACTTACCTTCCCTGGAACGGCGATTTACCACGTCATCGTGGTTTTCAGGAACAAACTTAGCCCTCACGGGCCCCCAGCAGATGCTGGCGCCCCAGCGCTCAGAGCCCACTGCCCGGTCTCCCCGCGCTGGGCAGCCCGGGGCCTGGCGTTCACAGCCCTGTGCTTCGTGACTGCGGGTGGTCTAGTATTTTTTCCTTTTCTAAGTTGGGAGCTATCTTTCTAATTAGATTTCTGCCTCTTTGTCGCTGCTTTTATACGTAGCTAAATTTGTCTCTTGATATTTTATTTGAATGATCAGAACACCTGTTGAAAATTTTCACGTTTTCAGTTTTCGATTATGTAGCAATAACTTCTACGCACTCTACTTCACCTGTTTAACAACTCTTTCTGCGTTGTGGTATTTCCTCCATATTTAAGCTATTTCGATAAGCCTTTTTATAAAGAAAAACTTTCAGCAGAGATAAAATTTTGTTTTAAGAATAGCTAAAAGGAACATTGAGATTTTAAATGTTATGTCAACAAGGGAGTGAGAAATTTTTGATGAGATAATTTCTTGTCAGTTTAATATACATGTAAAAAACTTTGTCACACTGAAAATAGTTTGCCTTCGTGTAAAGTACACGACACACAGAATGTAAAGTATTGCAGCAAGTTTAAAGACAGAGTCAAAGCCACCTGAACTCTGAACCCTGAGAATCCTGCACACCGACTCCAGTGAGACACAGGGGCAGACACGCGACACCCGTGTGCATGGCCTGTGAGTGGGGTCACGCAGGAGCCCCTCCTGTGTCCCGTTCCCCACCACCGCTTTGCACGTGACTGGTGTCATAACCCGTTTTCTGCCCCCGTGAGCCTTATCCTAGTTCTGATGCTTTGTTTTCTGAGCGTAAGACCTTTATCATGAATGTGCTTTGGTAGTATTTTCTCTGAGGCTTGGTCTTGTATTTGCATTTTCTTAAAATAGCTTTGGAAGAGCATAAGTTTTTAATTCTGATTAAGTCCAACTTACCGATTTTTTTAATGGATACTATTGTTGTTATTGTGCCTTCGTGTAAAGTACACGACACACAGAATGTAAAGTATTGCAGCAAGTTTAAAGACAGAGTCAAAGCCACCTGAACTCTGAACCCTGAGAATCCTGCACACCGACTCCAGTGAGACACAGGGGCAGACACGCGACACCCGTGTGCATGGCCTGTGAGTGGGGTCACGCAGGAGCCCCTCCTGTGTCCCGTTCCCCACCACCGCTTTGCACGTGACTGGTGTCATAACCCGTTTTCTGCCCCCGTGAGCCTTATCCTAGTTCTGATGCTTTGTTTTCTGAGCGTAAGACCTTTATCATGAATGTGCTTTGGTAGTATTTTCTCTGAGGCTTGGTCTTGTATTTGCATTCTCTTAAAATAGCTTTGGAAGAGCATAAGTTTTTAATTCTGATTAAGTCCAACTTACCGATTTTTTTAATGGATACTATTGTTGTTCGTGTCGCTAAGAAGTCTGTCTCCCCGAGGTCACTAAGACCCTCACCTGGGTGTTCTCGAGGTCTCATCGTTTGGGGGCTTCCCCTTTAGGTCCGCGGTCCTTCTTATGGACTGCAGCATGAAGCCAGCGCACGGACCGGGGCTCGCGTGTCACATGTGGACACCCAGTGTGTGGAGCGTATCCTGCCTCTGCCCCTTTGCCTAAAAGCAGCCACCCACACACGCGTGGCTTTTTCTGGACCCTCCCGTTCTGGTGACGCGTTCGTCCCTCTGTGGAGAACCACACTCCCAGCGACTGTAGCTTAGCTGATGGTCGCCTTGTCGTTGGTTCTGTGGATGTAACATGTCTGTCGTCTTCTGGCACCTGTGAGATCGTCTCTATTGCTGGTTTCGAGCGACATCTCTATGCCGTGCTTGCTCTGATCTCCTTACGTTTCTTCGGCTTTGTCGAGCTCCTTGGATCTGTTGGTGTATACCTCTGTTGTGCTGACACTGTGTAGATTTTTACTTCTGGATGGTTCTGTCTACCCTTTCATTTTGTCTGATTCTAAGACAGCAGCAAAGAAGAGAAGGAGAAAGTCCCAGTGGAACTGACTCTGTCACCCTCCAGCAGAGGCTGGGACACTCCGGTGCAGAGCGTCTCCTGTCCGTGCGCTGTGTGGGGCTGGGGGGCCGGGGCGCGCACCCAGCTCTCCCCCCACGCGACTCCCTTCAGGAGACCGGTTGGGTCACCGGCTTCCTCCAGTGGCAGCCACAGCCCCTTTCCTGCCTCTGCGCCTTCATCGCGTCCTTTTCCCCCATCTCTGTGTTGCCTTTGCTGTCCAGTGCATCCCGGCTTTGCCCTGCTTGGTGGTCACACTGTCCCACTCTTAACCTTTGAGGACATCTTCAAGTTAGGCTCACGCCTGTTGGGATTGTGGGTCCTGCCCTTGCTGCCGTTGTGACGAGATGCTGCAGGCCCACCCCGGCATTGCCACGGGTCCTCTCAGTGGGGTCTCATTCCAGGACCCCAGTCTGAGTGCAGGGCTGGTCGCTGCCTCTCAGCATTGTCAGCGGACTGGCGCGACCCGGCGTTTAAAGGTGACCTGACCTCGCAGGCGCGCGCCGACACTTCCCGTCGGGGTCCAGGGCCGCAGAGCGTTGCTTCACGTCTTCGATCCCCGTTGTGTCCCATCCCCGCCTCGTGAGCACCTCGGTTCCCAGGAGACATTGCATCCGACTGTCACACCAGACTCCCTTTGCTCTGTCCCACGTGATGCACCAACGCCACCATGGGACAGGACCCTCGCGGCCGCCAGCAGGGGTCCTGCACAGGAGTCCGCACTGCGTGGGCGGTGCCCCCGTCCTCGGGGTTTCCCGGGAGGCGCAGGCTCACCCGTCCGTGGCCTTTCAGGGCCGCTCGGCGTTCATGCCGAGCACCAGGGACAAGTTGACGTTCGTTCATTTCACCTGACCTTCAGTGTGGGTTTCTTTTTTTATTTAGTTTTGCTTTCTAACTGTGAACGTATTTAGATGGTTCCGGAGTCACGTGTACAAACGGGAATATTTAAGGACATCCAGGACCAGCGTAACACGTAGGCACGGGCCAAGCTCGTGTTCCTTTCGCGTCCAGTGAAGATAACGAACAGCGGACGCATAACTTTTTTCCTGGAGAACCAGCATTGTGAGAGTTGTTTTCACTGCTGCTCTTTCTGCGTAGATGTCCACACGGAAGCCGTGCAAGCAGCTTTGGCCAAATATAAAGAGAGGAAAGTGCCTCTGCCTTCGAAAAGACGCTCTGTTCTCGCGCATTCGTCTGTGGAAACCTGCACCCCACCAGGTACTGATGGCCACGTCGGGTGGGCTGACAGGGCGTTCCTCACGCCGCTGTCAAACCTTCGTTTCCTGGTGAGGTGTAAGATCCTGGCCTGTAGGAAAGATCTGGAAAAATTGGAGATGGAGATGCGTGTCTGTGTGCGGTGCCCTCGCCTGGGATCTGTGTGCACACAGTGTGGCTGTCCCCCCGACTTCTGTGTGGGCTTTCATGTTTTCACTAAGATGCTGTGTGTGCCTTGTAGTGAGGGGAAGACCCTGGAGTGAGCGAGGCCTTTGGGCTCAGGCATTTTCATTATTCTCACTTTAGGAACTGGCACTTGCCAGGTGGTTCGCAGGCCTCGGGCAGGAGGGCAGAAGGCTATCTGCAGGGTCTCGGGTTTGCTTCACTGTTGCTGCTGTGCCCCTGGCCATCGGGACACAGCTCCTGCGTGGGGTTTCCTATCATCGGCCACACACTCCAGGCCCCGGCCAAACCGCCTGCAGCGCCCCTCCGTGGCCTGGCGTCTCACTTAGGTCACGAACCTGGTGACTAGAAGCCACCAGATTCACAGGGTGACTTAGTGGTCTGGGTAATGCTTCCTTGATTAAGAAAAAGTTTACACTGTCAAAAAACACCTAGAATCGGCAGTCAAATTACTCTTCCTACTAAACATAACTGTGGACACCTCCTCGTT